TAATAAAACAAAAACAAACAAAAAATAGTAAAAAAAAATATAAAGAAAGAGAGAAAGGGAAAAAAAAAGAAATAATTCTTGATAAAAAGAAGAAACAAACAGAGAGAGAGAGAGAGAGAGAGAGAGAGAGAGAGAGAGAGAGAGGAAATTAAAACAAATTTCGTTTGCATTTGTGTGTTAACTTCGTATTAACAAAAAAAAAAAGATAAAAAACAAGTAAAAAAAAAAAATAGTGAAAACAAGCCTGGTAAAAATTTGATAAAACGAGCATAAGATGAAACAGTTGAGTGTATTTATAAAAAAAAAAAAGAATAAAATAAAACAAAAAAAAAACATCAAGAAACGTAGGAAACTTTAAACAAGATAGCGTATTAGATAATAATGAAACAAGATGGGAAGAGATATTTATTTGAGTAGGTAGAATTGTGGTTAAAAATAAAATTAAAAAATAATAAAAAAGAAAGAAAAATTAACTGTTAAATAATAATGAAAGAAATTTAATGTAAATTTCGTTGGAATTTCATTATTCAAAAAAAAAGAAATAAAACATGAGATAAAAGTTTCTCAAATAAAATATAACAAGTTGTTGTATTTGAGAAACACATTAGTTATATACATAATTATATACTTAATAATTATATACATAATTAAATTATACAATTATAATATAATAATTATAATATTGATAATAATTGCAATTATGTACATAATTATATATATAATAATTATTTACGTAATTAAATTGTACAATTATAATATAATATTAATAATATTAATAATAATTACAATTACATACATAGTAATTATATAAGTAATTTAATTATACAATTATAATATAATATTAATAATAACAATAATAGTTACAATTATATACATAGTAATTATATAAGTCATTTAATAAACAATTATAATATAATATTAATAATATTAATAATAATTAGAATTATATGCATAATTACATACATAATAATTATATACGCAATTAAATTATACAATTATAATATAATATTAATAATGTTAATAATTTCATTACAATTATATACATAATTCTATACATAATAATTATATACATAATTAAAAGCAAAGTTTAAAAGAACGTAAAAATGAAAAATGGATAGAGAAAAGAAATTGTAAGGAAAGAATAACGTTGACGTTTAAAATGTGACAAATTATATTGATTATAATAAAAGAATATATATATATATGTAGAACGATGTTAAAGTACATGGAATTTAAGAAATAAAAATTGATAAGAAAGAGAATGAGAGAGAAAGAAGATAAAATGAAATTTTATTCATGTCCAAGTAAAACGTACATGATGGATAATGTTAATAATATATTAGAAAGAAAGAAAAAGAAAAATAGACGAAGAAAAAGATAAAAAAAGGAAGTGAAAGAGTAAGACAGGACGCTAATAATAAGAAAGACAAAAATAGAAAGAATATATAATAGAATATAAAATACAATGGAATTTGCAATCATATAAAGTGCTCAGGATAAATAACCAATGATGGACGAGACTGTAATAAAATATAGAAAATGAGAAGGTTGATATGTGATGATTTAAATATTTAAAAAAAAATAATAATAATAAAAAATAATTGGAAAAGACAGTGAAAACGAATAAGATAAAAAATTGCATAAAATGGTTCGAGTTACTTTCGAGACACGTGTAACATAATTTTTTTATTTTTTTTTATTTATTTTTTTGGTTAATATGATAAAGAAATGAGAGATAGTAATCTAAGGTATTACAAAGGAATGACCGAAAGGTAAAATTTGTTTTTTTTGTTGTTGTTGAAACGATAGAAGAATAGAAGAAAGTAGAGATAGGAAAGAAAGATGTGATATTAAAAATAAAGAAAAATGGGGGAGACATTTAGGATTTTTTTTCTTTCTTTATTTCCGGCAGGATTAAGAAATGAAAGGAATGGAAACGAATGGTTTGACGAAAGAAAAATAAAATGACCTTCGAAGGGATAAAAAAATTGTCCATCCCAAAAATAGGATAAGAAGAATCTGAAGAAAGGTGGTAGATAATAAATGTAAGAATAAAAGTAAAGAAACGGTGAAACTAAAACGGGAGATATAACTGTGATACTTCGAGGAAGAGAATCGGAAAACAGGTGAGAAGAAACTTTTTGTCCCGATAGAATTAAACAATATATGTATAAAAATAGAATGCAAGTATGTAAGAGAAACAAAAAGAAAGGGAAGTAGAAGTACAAAGAAAGGTTGATAATGTTAAAATAAAAATGATAAAGAATGATATAAACCAAAACTAGAAGAACATGTATCCCAACATTAAAAACTAACATAACGGAAGGATAAACAACAATTCTTGACTTTTTCTGAAGGAGAATAAAAGAATAAAAAAATAAAAGAATGAAAAAGAGAAAAAAAGGAAATATATAAAAAAAAAAAAAAGGGGGAATATAATGAAACGAGAAAATGTGACAAGGAAAGTTTTACCAGACATAGGTAAAATTACAAGCTTTCTTTGTAAGATAAGAATATAAGACAAAGAGGAAAACTAAAAAAAAAAAAAAAAGAAAAATAGACAGAAAGAAAGGAATGAAAGAAATTATTCGATAAGAAAAAAAAAGACAATGAAAGTAATCCAATAATAAAAAAAAAAATATATATATATATATATAAAAACGAACAAGGAATTAAAGTAAATGTGTAAAATTTTTTCGCCATTCCTTCGAAGGAGGAAAACAAAAAAATTTTAAAATGAAAAGAAAAGAAGAAAGAAAAAAATGAAGAAGAAAATAAAAAGTTTGACCGAAGAGAACTCCTGGTTAGATTTTACTCGTTCCGTTAGAGATGCTAGAATAAAAAGAATAAAAGAAAAGGAGATGAGAAATAGTAGAAAAAGAATGAAAAGGGAAAGGGTAAGGGTAGGAACGGGGTAGTGGAAAATGAGATGATAACGCGTGTGCGAAAAATAATCGTTGGTTTTCTAAGAAAAAAAAAAAAAACAAAAAAAAATATAAAAAATATAAAAGTAAGAAAAATTATTCATCGAATAACAAACACGTTAAAAACAAAGAAGAGAAATTAAAATAAAAAATAAAAATAAGAATAAATATTAATCAAATAGCAAACACGTTAAAAACAAAGAAGAGAAATTAAAATAAAAAAAATAAAATAAATTAAAAAAAATAATAAGAAGAAGAAATATTAATCAAATAATAAAAACACGTAAAAACAAAGAAAAGGAATTAGATTAAAAAAAAAAAAAGCAAAATACGACAAAATATTAATCAAATAATAAACATATAAAAACAAAGAAAAGAAATTTAAAAAATTAATAAAACAAAATACTAATCAACTAATAAACACGTAAAAACAACAAAGAAGAGGAATTGAATTAATAAAAAAAATAAAAAAAAAGATAAAAAATGCTAATCAAATAACAAACACGTTAAAAAAAAAAAACAAAGAAGAGAAATTAAATTGACATAAAAAAAAAAATTAAAATTGAAATGAAAAATAGATCGTACAAACGTGTCAAATGTTTTATTAAGCTTTCCTTACAAAAAAAAAATAATTAAAAAAAAAAAAAATTAAAGAACCAGAAAAGCAGGAGTGGGGGGGGGTAATGATTTAAAAAAAACCAAAGGATAAGAAGTTGGACTCGTTCCGTCGTAGACGCTGGAATAAAAGAGTAAGAAAGAAAGGTAGAGGAATAAGTAGGAAAAGAAAGAAAATGGGAAGGGGTCGAAACGGGTAGGGGAGGTGGGTAGGGAGAAGGTGTATAACGCATGCGTATAAAACATCTTTTGGGCGATGTCTGAAGCGTCGGGACGTCTACTTCGTCATTCGGCGTCCGCGCGCGAACCGAGAACAACGCACAACCCTCCTAAAACGCGCGTGCTAATTAATTATAATAATTATAATAATAATTATAATAATAATATGAATATTATTATTTAATCATTACAATAATTTTTACGTGATATATCTAAACGATTTTGATTAAAATCAACTATTTAACAACTTCCACCCCCTATATCCACATCCCCAAACCTCCACTCTATCTTCTTTCTTATCGTTTTAATATTCCAACGCAATTTTTTGTTAGTTTTATTTTTTTTTTTTTTTTTGATGTATTGCATTTTATAAAAAGAAGAAAGGAAGAAAGTAAAAAACTGAACAACAAGTTAATTTTTCAAATATTTCATTGATTTCATCGAATAATCGTAAATTTTGGGAGTTGAGAGAAAAGAAAAAGAAATTGAAGTAAAGTAGAAGAAAAATAAAAGAAGGGGGGTGAACTTTGTTTTCCCGCGCTTTTTTTTTCTAGTCGGTCATTGAACACTTTTCACTTCGTACGCCCTGTTACAACGTGTATTTGGTGAGATTTGAATTTTTTGGTTTTGTTTAGTTCTTTTTAATCCTAGTTTTTATTTTTCATTTTAGTAATATCAAATTAAAGAGAGCGAGAAAATAAAAAAATGAATTTTTAGTTTAATTGCAATCATCACCGTAAACTCCACTGAGTGTGTGTCAGTTAAACGAATTAAAAAAAAAAGCAGAAGAAAGAAAGAAAGAAAGAAAGAAAGAAAAAAAGAAAAAAGAAGAAGACAGGAAAGAAAAAGGGGGAAAAAAGTTGGTAATGATCCGGCCTATAGGATTATCCGCAAAATTCCAATTGGGGGATAAAAAGCAAGCAGCCTTGATCGAAGAACAAGAAGAAGAAGAAGAAGAAGAGGAAGAAAGAAAAGAAGAAGAAGAAGAAGAAGAAGAAGAAGAAGAAAAAACCTTGATCGAGGTTTTTCAGTGTTCCCCTAACATTTGTCCATTATTAGATTTAAATCGTGTGGAAAAAATTAAAGAGAAATTAGTCAAAAGAAGAAGAATAAGATTGATCTCATTAAGATTGAAATTGCACGTCGAGGAAATAATCAAAGAGAAAGAAATCAAATCGATTAGAAGAAAAAAAAGGAACAAATCAGATTTAAAAAATTTCATTTGTGCATACATATAAAAAAAATTAATAAAAATTAAATCAAACAAATATGAATATTAGCAGCACAATAATCAACAACAACAACCATCATGAAAACAACTGGCAAAACAGTAACAGTATTAACAACATATCATCGTTGTTCGAAAATAATAGTGATTATAAATGTGGTAGTAATTTGGAATCGTTTCATTTGATATACGCACAAATACACGGTTGGGCAAGCCTAATCGTTTGCATATTTGGCTGTATAGCAAATAGTTTGAACATAGCAGTACTTACTAGACGTGATATGAGATCACCTACAAATATGATATTAACGGGTCTGGCAGTTGCTGATTTATTGGTCATGATCGAATACGTACCATATGCTATACACCTTTACCTTTATCATCGTTCACGAAAGGATAGGTTTACTTATGGTTGGGCAGTATTTGTCCTATTTCATTCGAATTTTGGTCAAGTTTGTCATACCATATCGATATGTTTAACTTTAACACTTGCAATATGGCGTTACATAGCCGTAGCACATCCACAAAAAAATCACGAATGGTGTAGCCATAGAAGAACGATCATAGCAATAATAGGTGCATATTTGTTTTGTCCAATATTATGCGTACCATTGTACATAACAACCGAAGTACGTCCACAGATAGAACCTTTAAATAATGATAATCATAATAATCATAACAATAATAATAATACTATGAATTTGAGTAAAATCATGAACGACGTTGTTGTTGATAGTCATAATTATACACGTTTATATGATGATAATGATGATAATAATAATACGGTAACGAAATACGTAACTCTTTATTTCGTGAGATTAACTGAAACTGCCAGGGTACACGGTATGTTGAAAGAAATGAACTTTTGGATTTACAGTGTTGTCATTAAATTAATACCGTGTTTAGCACTTACGATTTTGAGTATCAAATTGGTACTCGTATTGCTTGAAGCTAAAGAAAGAAGAAAAAAATTAACAAGTAAAACATTGAAAAGTAATAATCAAAAATTAAACGATATGACAACGAATGATAATATTAATACTACTACTACTACTGCTGCTGCTGCTGCTGCTGCTACTGCTGCTATTACGAAAATAAAAAAGAAAAAATCTAATAGGAATATGGATAAGGAAAGGCAAACGGATAGAACTACTATGATGCTATTAGCCGTTTTACTTTTATTCTTACTCACTGAATTGCCACAGGGTGTACTTGGTTTGCTCAGTGTCATATTGGGCTCGGGTTTCTTTCATACCTGCTACCTTATGTTAGGTGAGTATTATACATATATATATATATATATATATATATATATATACATGTATATATATATATATATTTTNTATATATATATATATATTTTCAAGCTTTATCTTTTTGTCTCCGATACTTTGATTTATTTTTACCTTTCTTCGTATCTTTCTTTTTATCTCGTTTAACGTTTCTTTAAAAAATGATAATATCGATTAATCAATTACCATTATTACATTAACATTACAAATAACAAGTTAAATACATTTTATTATAAATTATTATACTTATCTTATGTGGTATGATTAGTTGAGATAAAAAAATGATTAAAATGTAAGGTATGTTTTCTTTTTATTTTATTTATTATTTTGATGTTTCAACAAGTTTGTGTTTTTAATTTATTTTTAATCTTTTGTGTTATATTATACTGTTCTTTATCTTTTTATTTTATTTATGAAAAAAGAAAACCATAAAGAAAAAGAATAGTATGTTCAAACTGTCGACATCTGAAATCCCAAGAGATGATAGTCCTGTATCTTGTCCCAAAATGAACCTTTCGCTAACACATTATCGTGAAAAGCCGATTTTCAATGGTGAGGTGGACACAGGGGAAAGGAAGTAACATTTTGCTCTATTTTATCGACAGTATCATTTCCCACTTGGTTTGTTCCTTGTTTCTCATTAAACATCTTCCTTCTCTCTTTCTCTTTCTCTTTCTCTTTCTCTTTTTCTTTCTCTTTCTCTTTCTCTTTCTCTTTCTCTTTTTCTTTCTCTTTCTCTTTCTCTTTCTCTTTCTCTTTCTCTTATCCGCTCCTTTCTTCTTTTTCTTCTTTTTGTGGTTGTTGTGTTTTTTTTTTTGTAATTACAAATCTGTTTTTCACGTTTCAATGTAAAACAAATGTACGATGATTATTTCAAATCTACAACAAATTTATTTCGTTTTTTGTTTGAATATAATTTATTAATTTAAATATTTTTATAAAATACATTCATCATTTAATATTTAAAAATAAATAATTATTTTATTTAGAAATAATGTTCGATAATATTTTAATATTATATCGAATATTAAATATCATATATAATATAATAATAAATTTAAATATTATTATAATAGTATTATAATAAAATATAGAATAAAATATATTTAATATTCTATCGAAAATTCGTTTAATATTATTAATATTTAAATTAGGATTTTTAAATTATTTATCTACGATTAAATTTTATCCAAAGCTATATTTATTAAATTATATAAATAAATTTTATCTATAAGAAATATAAAACCAAAGAAAAAAATATATTATTAATTATATTTTTATTTGTTTTTTTTTTCTTTTTAATTAGTTCGATTTTGAGTGATGTAGAAAAAGGGTATTTCGTATTCAACTACGTTCGAGTAAAATAATATTAATTGAAATTTATATCCATACTCGGTTCTTTTCTATGGTATTATACTTTCCTGGAACATAATATACATTCGATGATCATGCTCAAAGAAGTGTATGAAAAACGAAAAAAAAAAAGGAAAACGTCTAATTGAGTATATTCTATCTCTTCGAATTTACGCGCACGTATAAACATTTGATTTTTCTGAATTAAACAAATATGAAATGAAAATGCATTTCGGTATATTTCAATTTTCTTTTTTTCTTCTTCTTTTCACATAATAAAAATTAAATCATTTCGATGAAAGCTTATATCCAATGTACTTTCATATTTTTATTAAACCATCCGATATTAATATTTACCAATTGACTAATGAGATTATTTACTAAAATTATAATTAAATTTGTATTATTAAAAAAAAATTGAAAAAAAAAAAAAACAATAAAAGCAGAAATATTTAATAAGAGAGATATGCATCAAGTTGATTTTGAATAGGAGTAAAAATAAAAAAAAAGATAGAAATAAATAAAAACAACGAAATATATTCAACCCCCCTTTGTCAGTTGCATAAATTAATACTCGACGTATTGAATTAATTTCTACTTGAATTATAAAACTCATTATATATATATATATATTTTTTTTTTTTATGTAGTTGTGTTGTTGTCTTTTTCCTTTCATTTTTTCTTTCATTTTTTTCTTTCATTCATTCTTTCATTCTTTTCCATATAAATTAAACGTTAGAAAACTCTGATCAACTTTTATAGAAAAAAATATTCGACCATATAATATCTAAAAGTTAGTTAAAGTATTAGGTTTTTTTTTTTTTTTTAATGAAGGATCATAATTAAATCTTTAATAAAATATTGTGAATATAGGTCATGATGTTTCAACATAATATAATGTCACTGATTGTTATTGTAATAATGAAATAACATAAGTAAAAAAAAAAGTAATAAAAAAATTGTACAAACTTATAATCCGATCTATTTTATTTTAATATAAAATTAGTGATATCATATTGAATTGTATTTGTGATTTAACTTTAATTTGTTAATTTGAAATAATTATTAATTATTAAATTAATTTTTTTATAGTTGAAATTTATTTTAGGATTATTTTTTGAAATTTTGTTATTGATATCAATTTCATTGCAAAAAGTATATTATACTTTTCAGACAAAATATAATTTTTTAATTGAAATATTCTTTATTTTAATTTTAATATGAAAATTTTATATTAATTTAATTAAAATTATTTTTATTATAATATTTATACTTCTAATTTTTATTAATTTTATTAACAATTTTTTTCTTTTAACAAATTCTTTATCTTAATTTTAATTAGAACATTTGTATTAATTTAATTAAAATTATTTATTACATTTGTATTTTTAATTTTTATTAATATTAATTTAATTAAAATTATTTATTATTGTTTATTATATCTATATTTTTTTAATTTTTTATAATTTAATTAAAATTATTCATTATATTTATATTTATAATTTTTATTAATATTAATTTGATTAACAAATGTTTTATGTTAAAAATTCGTTTCGAAAGAAAATTAAATATTGACATTTTCGTTTCTTTCTTTTTGCATTCGTTTCGAAAGAATTAAATTAATGTTCAACGGATATATCAAATAAAAAAAAAAACGAAATTAAATAATAAAAATATCAAATATTACATAAAACATCTATATATGTACATACACATATATATTTAATCTATCTATTCGTGTGAGAAAACTGGAACAAACTATGTTTCTTCATTTTATTTCTTATTATTATTATTAAAATAGTTTTTAAAAAAATAAGTCCATTGTTTTTGGAAATGTTGCATGTGTGTATAGCAGCTTTGCGTGTTAGTCTCTCACTTTTCATTTTTTTTTTTATTTTATCCTTTCCCCCTCCCCCACACCATTACCTGTTCTATTTTTTTTTAACTATCGCTCGAAAAACCGTGAAAAACTGCAATCAGACTGATGGTCAAACTGCAATCGGACTGATGGTCTCTCTACGTGTGATACAAAAAAAAATCGAACAGATTTTTTATTTTTATATTTTTTTTTTAATTCTTTCTCCGACTGATGATGTGAGAAAAGTATATTTTTTTCTATTTTTTTTTTTTTTTCTAGTCTTCCTTTTGTTTTAAATTTTTATTTCACTTCAGTTTTCTTTTACTTTACCTTTTACTTTTACCTTTTTTTTTCATTTTTATTTTTTCACTTCATTTTTCTTTTACTTTACCCTTTTACTTCGTTTAAATATGTATATATTTTCTAATTTACATTTAGAAGATTAAAAAATAAAAACATATGGAATACCAAATTAGTTTTAATAAGTATTTTGATTTATCGGTAAAGTTCTGTCCATTCTGACAAACACCGATTCAATTTTTCATCATTAGGGATAAGATATTTTTTTAAACTGCAATATACAAGATTGTCATCAAGCTGTAGTAAAAAATTATAAATAATGATAATTGTTTATTATTATTATTAGTCAATTCATGAGATATAAAAATTGATTACTTTTGTTTTATTTTTAAAAACGGACAAAAAACATTCCGGTAGACTCTAATATAATTAAAATAATATTATGCAATTATTATCATATTCCGTTGTGTGATTTGTTTTATTTTAATTGAAGATTATAACATCGATTAAATGATATATTTTTAAAAATAGAAAATAACATGATTGCTAATTCGAATATTATATCTTTGATCTTGGTTAATTTGCTCGTTTCTGGATTAGTGAATACAAATATGATTACGTTTATTTTGCAATACAAGGGAATCAAGGAAATCAACCGATTATTCGGTTGAACAATATACAGAGAACTTAATGAGAAAAGATTTATAAAAATATAAAAAAAAAAAATAAAGAAAACCTGAGAAAAAGAGTGAAAGAATGAGATATTAGTTTATTTTGTTTAATCATTAATTTTTGTAGGCTTGCAATTAAAAAATAAAATTAAACGAAAATACAAATTTTGTGTACTCCGAACGATAGATTTTTATTCGTTTGGTTTGGTTATTTTTTTTCTTATATATCAAAAAAAAAAAAAAAATCTTATGCCAGTTTAATTTGATTTTATAATTTGAAATATATGAATATAAAACGGCGATGATGATGAGAAAAAGAGTGAAAGAATGAGATATTAGTTTATTTTGTTTAATCATTAATTTTTGTAGGCTTGCAATTAAAAAATAAAATTAAACGAAAATA